AAAAGTTATAAATTGTTATGCTAAAAGTTTACTTGGCTGTGGTCTTCGCGCACTGCCGTACTACACACAAAACGTGAGAACACACACCAGAGGAACAATGAAAGTAGTCGAGTAATTTTTAGAAAAAACAGTTTGTACGATGGAATAACAACATTTTATATTGTAAATTTTAAAGATGGAAAAAATTCCTGTTTGTTTCCTTTTTTGTTTCTGTTTTTTTCCTATGCTGTCAGGAACCGTTATGTCTGACGGGGGAAAAAGCGAGAAGGGACGTTTGCCCTTACCTACTTAACAACCCCGCTAATGGCGAAGCCATGCCAAACCAGTGACCAACAAACCAACTTAGGCAGCCATCCAAGTAGGCCCCCTGCCAACCGATGTCGTTTGACCGTCAGACCGCGGCGAAAGGGTCCCCCATCGGCGGGTGGCGGCCGTGAGGTCGCGTCTTGTGGAACGGTGACAACTATATCAGAGTACACTGCAGCATGCGTTGCGTGCAATACCTCGAACGGCCGCACGTTTTCGTGGTATTTTGTCGTCTGGTTCGCATGCTCGTAACCAGATATAAATACCTCTCCTATCAAGTAGCTCTGCCGTCTTGACCAAAAAAAATACCTCCTTTTCTCGCTTTCGAGAGAAATTAATGCCTGTAAGCGGTGACAACATACCTACATACCATACATACATTCATACATTCAGATTAGGCTGTGAAACAACTGTGTCGATCGGCTTCATTCATTATAATTGTGTTCCAACATAACAACAACAAACACTTCTTGGGAATAAACTAGGTAAGGAATGGTGGATGGGCGGGTCTGGTGGGTGGCGCTGAATGGCGTTCTGCGGTAGTTGTTTTGGGCTGCTAAGGGGTGTACATTGCCAGTGGAATCTCTCACACTGTAATGAGAGTGACAAATTTATCTCTTTAACATGGATGATCATTGTAACCCTGTATATAAGAATAAACTAGCCACGTAGAATTGCCTCCACGGTTAGTAATTGATATGGCTTGTCGAGTTGATCTTCCGTCCTTGTATTTGTTTTTCTATTTTATAGCGCCCGGCGTCCATGCTGACCTCGTACAGTACGTTGTTTCGAAATGCTATCGCTGTTGGCCGACTTTTACTTTCGTGGACCATTCTCAGCGATTCCAGGGAGTTCCATGTCCCCTCTCGTACATTAAAACTGGTGCGTCTAACTAGCACTCGACTCGTTCTCTTACGACTATATGCGTTGAGTCATCATGGCTTTTATATCAGCCAACCTTGCCTTCTACGCAAGTAAATGCGTATACCCCTGGCGCATTCTTAAAGTTCTACACAGATTGGTACTATTCTACGTATTCACGTACGAATTAATTCGGGCATTGTACACACAGTTTATGAAACTCGTTAAGCGGTGGTGGGGTGGTGGTTTGAAGAGTGATAGGTAGGAAAAGTGCTTTAATTAGTATTTCGCTAACACTCTTGTGTATTTATAAACATGGTGGTTTGAAAACTATTTTTCCAGTTTAATACGAAAATTGAGAATAGCCGCCGACCTAGATTGCTTCACTCACCGTAATACGTGTTGCAATGTCGTTCATCCATTGCGCTCTTTCTGCTTGGTCAACCAGCGTAGACTCTTATGCAGCTGATATCTCGGGTGCTGTCACGGCTGTTGTGATCGTTGCCACCCCATAAATGTGTGTACTAATGCATTGTTCGTGCGTTATCCGGCGATCTGCAGATTTGCTGAATCTCGGGTGCTGTTTCTGGCGTCGTCGATAACCAGGTGGTACAAGATAAGTTCTGGCTTATTTGCGC